CTGGGCGTCATGGCGGACCGATATCTCCTGCAATGGTATGCGAATAACGGTGCAGATGAGGGGTTGTAGCGGTCATAGATAACATCGCGACGTCGGCATAAAAGATGACCTACCTCTGGCTGGATGAGGGTTGGATCTTGCCGCTTTTTTATGGTGTCGGTGTCGGTCTTCTCGACCCTCTTCGCCCAGTGCTGGAAGAGGGGAATCCGGCAGAGCTTGGAATATTGGATGTACGGGTGCCAAGGGGTGCGGACGAGTTTCACCGCGAGGTCCTCGGCGACAATGCGGCGGAACATCAGAAGGGTGCGCCAGAAATGCACGGCCGCAACGTCGGCGTCGGACCCCTTCTTCGCGAGTTCTTCTGCCTGCAGTTAGACATCAGACGGGGGTTATCTCCATGGTGGATAGGACAGTACCATGCAAGATTGGTCGGCACCGATAAACAAACCTTGTTGAGGAGGTCGTCGACGTCGGGGAAGATGTGCTCGGCGATGAGAGCGAGGAGTTCGTCTCCCGGTTCCACCCTACTGCGACCCAAGAAGTAGTCCTGCGTGAATCCCGAATAGCCTGCCTTTTTCATCACCACGCCGACGGGAATGGACGTGATGTAGGCTCGAGTCATCTTGTCGAGAGCCCAGTGACCCAGCTCGGCTATCTCGGCGCGAGGCGTACCTTGGATGGCCAACTCCTGCGCCCCGCCCGCCCGAGCGGCATGGACGTTCCGCTTGCAGAACACCCCGTTCGTCTTCCACATCTGCCTCGTCCATCGCTGGTGGCTGGGAGCTGAGAGTTCGCCCTGCTCGGGGTCGTTGCGGGCGAAGAACAGGTGCTTCTTGTACCAGAGCTCGCGTGTGCTGGTGTCGACCGGCGGAATGAGGTCGACTCCGTGAAACTGGCCGATCTGGTCGAGGACGAAGTGTAACCACAGCCCGGTCTCGCCGACGGCGCACAACTCCGCTTCTAGGTGCCGCGCCGCGTAGCTCTGTTGAAGACGCGCATCCTTCGACGTCTTCGAGTTCCGCGCGGCGACCACCATGACGACCGGCTGGTTATCCGGGTTCACCGACGAGGTGCTCGCCAGTCGGTACAGGAAGATGTCGGGGAGCGTTATCTCGCGTATGCTTGCACCGCGCATGAGGCTGTGGTGGGAGAGCAGCGTGAGCACCTTGATGAGAAGAAACCTCCACAGCGTCTGCGAAGGTGTGGTGAAATGCGGGCTCCATGCCGACGCCGCCCAAGCCGGCAGCACCCTCGTCATTATCTGGCGGAACTGTTCGGCGGTGTATGTGTCGCCGATGGTGCCGCGTCGACGGTCGGCGCATTTACTGTCGACATAACAATATATGGATATGAATATTAGGGCGAGGAAACAAATCGATGGCGACATAACACGGCGATGCATGCCAACTTACTCGAGGTCCCTCTGTTTTTTCGTGCGGACCATGACCCGCACCTCCGACCGGACCACCGAGATTTCCCGCATGATGCCCAACTCCTTCTCCTTGAAGAGCGTCGCCTCCACCCTCGCCGCCATCTGGCAGGCCTTGATGCGGCCGAGGATCATGTGCACCGTGTAGGCTCGCACTGGCTCGTTCGTGTCGGCGTCGATCTTGTACTCCCGCCTCATGAACTTGATGTAGGCGCGCAGTCGCGTACTAGTGACCCGGGGGCCGTGCAGCCATATGTGGTTCCGCTTGACCACCTTCTCGTTGTCCCAATCCTTGCTCTTGTTGTTGTGTGTCCAGTGCCCTATCTCGTCGACGTGCCTCATTTGTTCTGCTGTCGGCAGTTTGTCGCCAATTTTTTTAAGCATCTTCGCCGTCCACCTTTTGTAGTCGTATATCCATGAGGTGTAGGACTTGAGCGTGCTCTTGGCCTCTATGGTTTTCAGGTGGCGCATTGCCTCCATCACGAGCACGTCGACGCACGCATACACCATATCTTCCTCTACGAAGTCGGCCGCCTTCCACATTTCTCGAGGGACCGACGTGTGCAGCAGATCCTCAAGCTCGTTCTCGTCCAACAGTTCCTCTATGAACGCACGTTCCCCCCTGAGTTTTTCTTCCAATGTGCGCGGACCTGCACCACGTCGGGGCCGCGGGTCGTCTTCGTCGTCCTCGTCGCTCGCCGATGAATAATCGTCCTCATCCTGGTCGCCCGATCCGTCCGGCACAGACGACGGCCCGGCCTCCCCTGCATCCGTCGGCGTCGACGTTTTGCGTGGTTTCGTGAACTCCCCTATCGGCGCGGGCGGAACGTCCTTGGTGAACTCTCCCTGCGGGATTTGGGCCAGGGCGTCGAGATCGTAAAGCAGCGGCAAAGTCGACGAGGGGTTACTGGTCGGTGTACGGTCTACCGGGCGGACGTCCTCATCCTGGCTAGCGGGGTTCATGACGTCCGTCATGTCGACATCGGCGGGGGGTGGGTTGGTTTGCGGCGGTGTCGAACGAGGCTGTCCTCTGGCCATGATACCGCGACCTAGGGCGATAGGAAGTCGGCGTGGTGAGGTCGATAAACTACTTAATGCGTATTCTATGTCGGCGGTATCTGGCAGGTCGGGACAGCAGACAATCCTACGAGAGGTCGGCGACCACGTCTGCCTACTATCACGACGCCGACGTTACGCCTCTAGAGAAAATCAAAGTGCCGGCCGTCAAGTCAGTGGTAAAAAAAAAAAGCAATGGCACACACAATGGCAGGCGGAATGAGCGACCATTTCGGGGACCACGGATGGGGATGGTCGTGAGCGACTCCGCACCACTTGGCGCTCCACGCAAACCCCAGTGCACGACGCCGCCATGCATGTACGCTCGTGCGGCGGCGCCGTGTCCGACGTGCCACCAGGCGTGCATGGCTGCTTGCTTGAAGCGCTTCGCTCATCATGCTCTTTTCGTGGCTGCTACACGCTGGCTCTTTCGTGCGGCAACGTGGCGTGGTCCCGAATTAGGTGCACCTCGGTAGGTCGAGGTCGGGAGACACTGCCGTGTGGCACCACGATGATGCTCTTCTGGTCGACGCCGACAGGTCCCGCATCATCAGTGTCCACTGCACGTAGCCATAGATAGTGGACGGCCGGATTTCTCCTTGCGCATGTGAGCAACCGTTGGATGAATGCCGTGTGGTATGCACCGACATTGCCACGTTCATGCGCGAGATTCTCCCAAGCGAAGCACCCCGACCTTCCGTTGGCCCGTCGTGTCCAACCTGGCAGACCTAGGTGGCCCCGCCATCCAGGGGACTATCTCGGGCGTCCCTTTGTGGCCGCGTGGCGATCATCGCGGCCCGACTTGCCGAGCTGGTATTCTGACACGCGGCTGAGACGTCTTCTCGGGATTGTCTCAGCGGAACTCTAGGTCGACAGGTGGTCGACCATCCCGAGGGCTCACCAGCACCTGGCCCAGCCAGATAGCCTGGGCTTTCCACGCGGAGGTCGTCGTGGGGTCGTCGACCCCGAGGAGGGGGGTTGTCCGTTCTGAACCGCGAAAATGGGCGGCAGTTTTCGTCGGCTGAGCTATATTATGCTAGACCCGCCATCGGTTCCAGACTCTGTCCTAACATCGCCCTCGACCGATTGCAATATTTCCTAAACACAACCCTCGGTTAGCTGCAATACACATGGTGTTATTTTCACACCCTCCAATTTCACAACCTGTGTATTCGTTCCTGATTTACCCGGAAATTAAGGGTTGTTTTTAAAAATTTTGGCTTTAAGGAATTAGCGATTCAAACAGTCTGGCCTTAAGGAATTAACGAGTCAGTGGGAAAATTAAAACATGGTTTCAGCGGAATATCCAGTGTTTACGTTGCGGTCTCAAAGTCACACTTTCACAACATCGACACTTTACAATGCCACGGATAGCCTCTAGTTCCTTGGATGTCTGATCCCCAAAGCCAAAGAAGGAACGCTAGTTTGCCACAAAAAAGGTCCCAATCTCGGTTTAAATCTTGGAACTCTCGCATACACGTCTTTCGATGGAACCAAGAAGAGTGGGAAAATTCACTTGGAAGTAGCTTCCCGAGTGCCTCCTTCGTTCTCGATCTTCGAGTGCCTTGAAGCAGGAGGAACGGAGTGCCTTGAAGCGTGAGGTGTGTCGAGTTCGCTGCATGTTTCGCGAATAGTAACGCGCGTGGAATCCACGTCGCTTATCTTTCGAAGTTAGTTCGTCCGTTTGTTTGCAGTGGCTCTAATGGAGCAGCTCCATTTTCCTCGTCTAGATTCGGGCTTGACGAGATCGAAAATCTTAGACCCCCATGGAACGTCGGTCCTGAGGTGCATTCCGACAAAATCCTCGCGTTCTAGTTCCGCGATTCTCGCAAACCGCGATTGTCGTGTCTCTAGAGGCTCACCAGTCAGAGCTGGCGGAAATGGCTCGCTTGGTCTTGCAGCTGGTTCGTGTTTTACGTGCCTCAACCTCGGGGATGTTTCTCGACGACAACCCTTGTCGATTGGTCTCGCAGATGGGTTAGGTGCGAGATTAAGTTACGTTGCTCGTCGCTTTCCGTCGCAGTCCGTCGCAGCAACTGTCGCACGAGCTAGTGTAGGCGACTCCTCGCGATCGTCCAGTCGGGCGAGGAGAACAGCAGCGCCGGCGGCGACTGTAGCGGCTGCACGGCCAGCTCTCGCCGCTGCAGTTGCGTCGCAACGGACAGCAGCACCATCTGTAGCGGCGTCTGCAGCATCATCTGTAGCAGCATGTACAGCACTCCAAGCAGCTGCGGCTGTAGCAACGGCGGGGAAACCCCAGTCTCGAGCGCCAAAAGCGCCGACCGCGCGCAAAGCAGCGATCGGGGAGGTGCTTGGGGGGATATTCGGCGCAACGAGCCCCGCGGAGAAGACACGTCAGCAGTACGCAGAACAGCTAGCGCGGGTTAACCGTCTGGAGGCGATCGCGTCGCGACTATCGGACGGCCAGCTAAGAGGAACGACTAGGGACCTGCAGCAGAGGGTTGCTGCTGGGGAGACCCTTGAGAGTGTGCTCCCGGTATAGTCACTTTAAAGTATGCCTTTCTTTTCTAGAGTGTGCTCTCGGTTCGTCAACTTGAGTGGGACGACCAGAGACCTGCAGCAGAGGGTTGCTGCTGGAGAGACCCTCGAGAGTGTGCTCCTGGTATAGTCACTTTGAGTAATAACCTTTCAAGTGTCTGCTCCCAGTATAGTCGCCATGTATGACGTTTCTCTAGAGCGTACTGCTACAGCTTACCCACCCACTTGCTGCTTTCCCTACCTGCTGCTTTCCGTATTCTTTCTAACTTCCCCACTCTGTGCTGCGACTTTTCACATGTCCCTTCCCACTGGCAGGAGGCGTTTGCTGTTGTGCGCGAAGCTTCCAAGAGAGTTCTTGGCCTGAGGCCGTTTGATGTCCAGCTCATAGGTACACCCAAATACTTGCCGCTCATCCCAACAACCATCTCTTCTTGGTAACGCTCTGCTGAAGAGGCCTCTTCTTATCACCCCTCTTCTTGTTTGACTTGACGGTTCTTCCTTCCACACCAGATCATTCCTTTCAAGTTGTTAAGAACCTCACATTCTCCTAACCCTGATGGGCCGCACTTACCTCCTCCTTGTTTCCGCGTGTTTGGTTTTATGATTTTGTGCCACGTGGCATGTGGATGCCTGTGAACATGCCAGGTGGCATGGTGCTGCATGACGGGCAGATCGCTGAGATGCGGACGGGGGAAGGCAAGACGCTGGTTGCTGTGCTCCCTGCCTACCTCAACGCGCTCACAGGTGTGTATGTAGGGGGCGTGTTTGTATGCACGCATAGACAGAGGAGGCATGGTGCTGCGTAGACAGAGGGGGCATGGTGCTGCATGACGGGCAGATCGCTGAGATACGGACGGGGGAAGGCAAGACGCTGGTTGCTGTGCTCCCTGCTTACCTCAACGCGCTCACAGGTAAGTGAGTGTGAGTGTGTGAGTGTGTGTGTGTGTGGGTGTGTGTATATGTGTGTGTGCGTGTGTGTTATGGTGCATGGTGCACGGTGCATGGTGCATGGTGCATGGTGCATGGTGCATGGTGCGTGGTGCATGGTGCATGGTGCATGGTGCATGGTGCGTGGTGCGTGGTGCGTGGTGCATGCGCATATGATTTTTCAGTCAAAAGCCTGCCTCGCTCGTACAGGTTCGTCTATCTACATACCTTATTCCTCTCTACGCTTGAACCCTATCGGCCTCCTTCCTATCAACCCCCATCTCCTTCCTTTTCTCAACGTCCTTCACTCTCCTTCCTTCCCAGGCAAGGGCGTGCGTATGGGCGAGTGAGACCCCTCCTGGGAAGTGCATATAGTGCGTATGTGCACTATTCTTTTTTAGCAACCGCCTTCGCTCTTAAACCACTCCGCCCTCCCTCCTCTCTCCAGGCAAGGGCGTGCATGTGGTGACAGTCAACGATTACTTGGCTCGCAGGGATGCCGAGTGGGTGCGGTGCGGCAGGTCCCTAAATTGCATGTCTCTGTACCTGTGTGGCTGCAACATAACATCATATCGATGTCTCTCCTCCTCCTTCTTTAACCCCCCCGCCCTCGCTCCTCCCCAGGCAAGGGCGTGCATGTGGTGACAGTCAACGATTACTTGGCTCGTAGGGATGCCGAGTGGGTGGGGCAGATTCACAAGTATCTCGGTCTGTCTGTCGGCCTCATTCAACGTAAGCGCCTCCTTGTAAGCTTCTATCTATTTAACCACTTGCTTGCTAGCCCCCCACCACTGCCCCGCTCTTCTTTTTGTTACATCGAAGCCCTTTTCACCCTAGTTATCAACCCTCGCAAACCGTGATTCATGAAGCTGTTTATTCTTAGCCTTGCAGAGGGCATGACGGCGCAGCAGAGGAGGGAGAGCTACGCGTGCGATGTCACATACGTCACCAACAGCGAGAATGGTCCCCGTTGTGCTCAATTCAATCCTAGCTAAGCAAACTTTTATTCCATGCTGTGTGCTCTCCGTGCGCCTGCAGAGGGCATGACGGCGCAGCAGAGGAGGGACAGCTACGCGTGTGATGTCACATATGTCACCAACAGCGAGCTTGGATTCGACTACCTCCGAGACAACCTTGCCACTGTGAGTCTAGTTGACTCCAAATTCACCTAGTGGGGAGGGAGAGCTACGCGTGTGATGTCACATGCGTCACCAACAGCGAGCTTGGCTTTGACTACCTCCAAGACAACCTTGCCACTGTGAGTTTAGTTGACTCCAAATTCACCTAGTGGGGAGGGAGAGCTACGCGTGTGATGTCACATCGTCACCAACAGCGAGCTTGGCTTTGACTACCTCCGAGACAACCTTGCCACTGTGAGTTTAGTTGACTCCAAATTCACCTAGTGGGGAGGGAAAGCTACGCGTGTGATGTCACATGCGTCACCAACAGCGAGCTTGGCTTTGACTATCTCCGAGACAACCTTGCCACTGTGAGTTTAGTTGACTCCAAATTCACCTAGTGGGGAGGGAGAGCTACGCGTGTGATGTCACATGCGTCACCAACAGCGAGCTTGGCTTTAACTACCTCCGAGACAACCTTCCCACTGTGAGTTTAGTTGACTCCAAATTCACCTAGTGGGGAGGGAGAGCTACGCGTGTGATGTCACATCGTCACCAACAGCGAGCTTGGCTTTAACTACCTCCGAGACAACCTTGCCACTGTGAGTTTAGTTGACTCCAAATTCACCTAGTGGGGAGGGAGAGCTACGCGTGTGATGTCACATGCGTCACCAACAGCGAGCTTGGCTTTGACTACCTCCGAGACAACCTTCCCACTGTGAGTTTAGTTGACTCCAAATTCACCTAGTGGGGAGGGAGAGCTACGCGTGTGATGTCACATGCGTCACCAACAGCGAGCTTGGCTTTGACTACCTCCGAGACAACCTTGCCACTGTGAGTCTAGTTGACTCCAAATTCACCTAGTGGGGAGGGAGAGCTACGCGTGTGATGTCACATGCGTCACCAACAGCGAGCTTGGATTCGGCTACCTCAGAGACATTCTCGCCACTGTGAGTGTTTCTTCTCATGCGAGCATGCATGCATGCTTGCTGCCATTGTGAGAGCCTGCCTTCCATTTTAATCGCACTAACTTTTATCGATTCCCTTCCTTCTCTTGCCATCCTTTACCCTCCCCCTCACAGTCCAAGGCTGACCTGGTGGTGCCCTCCTTCAACTTCTGAATCATTGATGAAGCGATTCCATTCTCATTGACGAGGCCCTTGCACTGACTCCTCTACATCCCTTCCCTTCCCTTCCCTCCATGTCATTCCTTCCCCATACCATACGCATGTCCAAGGCTGACCTGGTGGTGCCCTCCTTCAACTTCTGAATCATCGATGAAGCGACTCCATTCTTATCGATGAGGCATTCACACTGACTCCTCTCCATTCCTTCCCTTCCTGCCATGTCCTGCTTTCCCCACTCACAGTCCAAGGTGGACCTAGTTGTACCCACCTTCAACTTCTGCATAATCGATGAAGTCGACTCCATTCTCATCGACAAGGCACTTGCACTGACTCCTCTACATCCCTTCCCTTCCCTTCCCGCCTTGCCCTGCTTTCCACACTCACAGTCCAAGATGGACCTAGTTGTACCCTCCTTCAACTTCTGCATAATCGATGAAGTTGACTCCATTCTGATTGACGAGGCCCGCACGCCGCTCATCATATCAGGGCCGGCAGAGAAGCCCAGCGAGCGATACCTCGTAGCTGCCAAGATCGCTGCTGCCTTTGAACGAGACGTGCACTACACGGTGAGTTGCAACTGAGAGGTTTGGTGACAGAGAAGGCGTGCATGTTGCTCAGCTCATCATTTCGGGGCCGGCAGAGAAGCCCAGCGAGCGCTACCTCGTAGCTGCCAAGATCGCCGCTGCTTTTGAGAGGGACACACACTACACGGTGAGTGAGTCAGTGGGCTGGCTGAGTTTTGAGCCTTCCTCCGGAGTTTGAGTGTTTTGAGACGTCTCAAAACAGTGAGTCAGTGGGCTGGCTGAGTTTTGAGCCTTCCTCCGGAGTTTGAGTGTTTTGAGACGTCTCAAAACAGTGAGTCAGTGGGCTGGCTGAGTTTTGAGCCTTCCTCCGGAGTTTGAGTGTTTTGAGACGTCTCAAAACAGTGAGTCAGTGGGCTGGCTGAGTTTTGAGCCTTCCTCCGGAGTTTGAGTGTTTTGAGACGTCTCAAAACAGTGAGTCAGTGGGCTGGCTGAGTTTTGAGCCTTCCTCCGGAGTTTGAGTGTTTTGAGACGTCTCAAAACAGTGAGTCAGTGGGCTGGCTGAGTTTTGAGCCTTCCTCCGGAGTTTGAGTGATTGACGAGGCCCGCACGCCGCTCATCTCATCATAACGGGGCGGGGCCGGAGGAGAAGCCCAGCGAGCGCTACCTCGAGCGCTACCTCGTTGCTGCCAAGATCGCTGCGGCCTTTGCGAGGGACACGCATTACACGGTGAGTGATTCGTTAGCTTGCCTGAGTTTGACTGTTCCCTTAAGTCCTTGTTGATCGACGAGGCCCGCACGCCGCTCATCATCTCAAGGCCCGCAGAGAAGCCCAGCGAGCGCTACCTCGTTGCTGCCAAGATCGCTGCGGCCTTTGCGAGGGACACGCATTACACGGTGAGTGATTCGTTAGCTTGCCTGAGTTTGACTGTTCCCTGAAGTCCTTGTTGATCGACGAGGCCCGCACGCCGCTCATCATCTCAAGGCCCGCAGAGAAGCCCAGCGAGCGCTACCTCGTTGCTGCCAAGATCGCCGCTGCCTCTGCGAGGGACACACACACGCTACACGGTGTGTTGCAATGCAATTGAGAGGTTTGGTGACTGAGAAGGCCCGCACCGCACGCATGTTACTCATCGCATCATCTTGAGGCAGGCAGAGGGGCCCTGCAAGAGATGCCTCGCTGCTGCCAAGATCGCAGCGGCATTTAATAGTGACGTACACATACATACGCACACACACTTATATCAGGTGAGTCCTGGGTTGACAGGTGCCCTCCCTCCCTGGTCCATCCGCGTAGCTCTCCCATATCTCAGGGCGGTTGTGTGCTTCTCACCCTCAACGTGAGGCTTGCACACATGCCGCTCATTGTATCAGATCAGGCAAACCGAGAAGCTGTACAGCTGTCCGCCTTCCTTCCTCCCCCTCCTCCGTGCCTTCCCCACCTTCCGTCACTGTCTAACCATCCCGCTCAGGTGGACGAGAAGCAGAAAGTGGTGCTGCTGGCAGAGGCAGGCTACGATGGGTCAGATCAGAGCTGGTGCTTAGATTGACCCATCTTTACAATGCAAGCCAAGGATGTCACCGAATATATTGTTGTTTGCAATATATTCTGTTACTCGCTAGTGTAGGTATAGTAGGGTTAATCGAAGTACTGTAGAAGGTGAGTTTGGTGCGTGGGTAGTGACGCGAAGTGGTGACTCAGGGACTTGCGAGGCGCAGGGTGGGACAAATTCAAGGGCGAGCCCTGAGCAATCCGAAGGGCCAATCTGAAGCCTAGCGGGCGGAGCCCAATGTGACTTACGGGAAACTGCACGGCACGGGGTAGAGACTCAAATAGGCTAGGAACTCACTGCTTAGTTCGTTCTCTTGTTTGTTTGCTCGTAATAGTGGATATAGGTTGCCGTTTGATAGCTAACTCCAGCTTAGGCGACTAAGCCACTGTGGGCAGCCATACGTGGGGGATGCAGAATCTCTCATGGTAGTGGCTGAGGCAGAGCAGGTAAGGTATCACAGGAACAGAGCTCAGAAGAAGGGAGCGAGGGTGAGTCGGGGAAGGAGAAGGCAAGCCACGGGAAGCAACAGAGGATGATTCTCCGACAAGGAGCAGTTATTGCAGTCAAACCCCTCCCTGCTTGCACTCTCAGTCTGCCAATGTCTGCCCGTCCCACTCAGGTGGACGAGAAGCAGAAGGTGGTTCTCTTAACAGAGATAGGGTACGAGGAAGCAGAGCTGGTGCTCAAAGTGACCGACCTGTATGACTTCAAAGAGCAGTGGGCGTCCTTCCTCCTCAACGCAATTAAAGCCTCCTCTCTCTGCGTCCTCTCCTTCCCTACCTGCGTGCCGGCCTTGTGCTGTCTGCCTTCCTGCCTGCCTTCCCTGTCGGCCTCCCTTCTTTGCCCGACACAGGTTGACGAGAAGCAGAAGGTTGTTCTCTTAACAGAGATAGGGTACGAGGAAGCAGAGCTGGTGCTCAAAGTGACGGATCTGTACGATCCCAAAGAGCAGTGGGCCTCCTTCCTCCTCAACGCCATTAAAGCCAAGGAGCTCTTCACCAAGGACGTACAGTACATTGTGCGCGACGGCGCGGTGCTTATAGTGGATGAGTTTACAGGGAGGATAATGGAGGGGCGGCGGTGGAGCGAAGGCGTGCATCAAGCAGTGGAGGCGAAAGAGGGGGTGGCAATACAGAACGAAACAGTCAGCCTCGCTTCGATCAGCTATCAAAACTTCTTTCTCCAGGTATGGCAGGTGTATGTCTGAGGAATCAGTTGTGCGTCTCATACCAAGTCGTTCTGGCATGGAAATTGGGTTCAAGTGGAATTCGGGCTTGTACGGTTGATGGGCTTGTGTGGAGTGGAGCGATGGAGGGAGGATAATGGAGGGGCGGCGGTGGAGTGAGGGCGTGCACCAGGCAGTGGAGGCGAAGGAGGGGGTGGTATGCCAGGCCTGCTGTGCTGTGTGTGAGGCCTGTTGTGCCCATCAAGACGCGGTTGCATGGGGGGTGGGCTTGCATTTAGGTGGGTCTGTGTGGAGTGAGCGAGGGCGTGCACCAGGCAGTGGAGGCGAAGGAAGGTGTGGTGCCCAGAACTTCTTCTTGCAGGTATGCTGGGTGTGTGTGTATGTGGGATCAGCTGTGCCCATCTAGACGGGCTTGCACAGAGGATGGGTGAGTGAGGCCGTCAATCAGGCAGTGGAGGCGAAGGAGGGCGTGGCGATTCAAGAATGAAACAGTCAGCCTGGCATCTATCAGTTACCAAAACTTCTTCCTGCAGGTACGTTGGGGCAGCTGTATGCATGCATGTGTGATGTGCTTGAAGATGGGCTAAGATGATGGAGGGGCGGCGGTGGGGTGAGGGCGTGCACCAGGCAGTGGAGGCGAAGGAGGGAGTGGCGATTCAGAACGAAACAGTCAGTTTGGCCTCTATCAGCTATCAGAACTTCGTCCTGCAGGTATGGCAGGTGTAGGTCTGAGGGCCAAGTGTGCCCATCAACATGTGCTTGCATGGGGGATGGGCTTGCATGCATGGGGGATGGGCTTGCATGCATGGGGGATGGGCTTGCATGCATGGGGGATGGGCTTGCATGCATGGGGGATGGGTTTACTCTCCCCCCCCCTCTCCCACGCCCCTTCCCCCCTCCCTTGTTACCCTATGTCGATCTGTTCTGCAGTCCCCAAGTTGTGTGGCAAGACTGGCACGGCAGCTACAGAGGCCACAAGCTGCATATGCATTCAGCTAACACAGATAGAAACCCCCCCCTCTCTCACCTTATACCCATCCGCTCTGCAGTACCCCAAGCTGCGTGGGATGACCAGCACAGCAGGCACAGAGGCATCAGCCAAGTGTGATTGCAAGCAGCATATGTATCCAACAAATCGATTGTTAAACCTCTTGTCGCTGTGTATCCATCCGCTTTGCAGTACCCCAAGCTGTGTGGTATGACCGGCACGGCAGCCACAGAGGCAGACGAGTTTGGTGGCATCTACAAGCTGGCTGTGGCCGAGGTCCCCACCAACCGGCCCCTGCAGAGAAAGGTGAGGCCGTTGGTGAGGGCAATGTGTTGCATTGGAGGCAGGTGCTGTAGCATTGTAGCGTGAAGCAACACGGGCAGACGAGTTTGGTGGCATCTACAAGCTGGCTGTGGCCGAGGTCCCCACCAACCGGCCCCTGCAGAGAAAGGTGGGACTGGTGTTCCATTGTATCATGCAGCACAGTTTAGGATGAAGCTAGCAAGCAAGCACAGGCCCCTGCAGAGACAGTTGAGTGTCTGAGTGGGGGGAATATGGGATTTCCTTGTAGCATGAGTCAGCACATTGTAGCGTGGAGAAAGCAAGCTGTGGTGCGCTTGAGTGACTGGAGCAGCAGCAGCAGCAGCCACAGAGGCAGACGAGTTTTGTGGCATCTACAAGGTGGCTGTGGCGGAGGTGCCCACCAACCGGCCGCTGTAGAGAAAGGTGAGCTCAGATGGGTGTTTCGAGGCGGATATGACAGCCTGCATTCGCAAGCCTCATTTCACCAAACGCCGATCGGCAAGTGGAGGGCAGAGGGATGGGATGGGATGGGATGGGATGGGATGGGATGGGATGGGATGGGATGGGATGGGATGGGATGGGATGGGATGGGATGGGATGGGATGGGATGAAATGGGATGGGATGGGATGGGATGTTAGGATGGTTATTCCTGGTGGCGTATCATTTGCTCTCGTTTCTGTATCCTCGATATTGTGTCCCTCGCTCTTTATCACAGGACGAGCAAGACGTGGTGTATCGCACGTCAGTGGGCAAGTGGAGGGCAGTGGTGGCGGATGTGAAGGGGCGGCACGCAGAGGAGCAGCCAGTGCTGGTGGTCTATCATTCACTCCTTCCCTCTGTTGCTATCAACTTGCTTACTCGCTTTACACCAACTACAGGACGAGCAAGACGTGGTGTATCGCACATCAGTGGGCAAGTGGAAGGCGGTTGTCGCAGATGTGAAGGGGCGCCATGCAGAGGGGCGGCCAGTGCTGGTGGTCTATCCATCACCTCTCTAAATACCCCCATGTTACTCTCCGCCTCACTCACAGGACGAGCAAGATGTAGTTTACCGCACGTCAGTGGGCAAGTGGAAAGCAGTGGTGGCGGATGTGAAGGGGCGCCATGCAGAGGGGCGGCCAGTGCTGGTGGGCACCACATCGGTTGAGATCAGTGAGGCGCTGTCGGCCAAGCTGAAGGAAGCAAATGTTCCTCACCAGGTGAGGAGAGTGTGGGTGCTGTGCGGTGCAGTGTGGTGTTGTGCTGTGACTTGCTGCTGGTGAGAACCACGTCGGTTGAGATCAGTGAGGCGCTCTCGGCCAAACTAAAGGAGGCGAACGTCCCCCACCAGGTGCGATGATCTGCACTGCAATGCATTGTGGTGGTGGTGTGTCTGGCGAGGTACAATGGTGTGTGCTGCCAGTGCTGGTGGGAGCCACGTCGGTTGAGATCAGTGAGGCGCTCTCGGCCAAACTAAAGGAGGCGAACGTCCCCCACCAGGTGCGATGATCTGCACTGCAATGCATTGTGGTGGTGGTGTGTCTGGCGAGGTACAATGGTGTGTGCTGCCAGTGCTGGTGGGAACCACGTCGGTTGAGATCAGTGAGCCGATGTCAGCCAAGCTGAAGGAGGCGAACGTTCCCCACCAGGTGAGGAGAGTGGGTGCTGTGCGGTGTAGTGCAGTCAGGGGAGGTAATCTGCGTTTTCATGAGGTACTATGGTGCAGGCCCGTGCTGGTGGGCACCTCGTCGGTTGAGATTAGCGAGGCGCTATCAGCGAAATTGAAGGAGGCTAATGTCCTCCACCAGGTGAGGAGAGTGTGTGCTGTGCAGTGCAGTGCGGTGCTGCCGTATGGTATGAGGGGCTATCCTGCTATGCCAAGTGCTGGTGGGCGCCACGTCGGTTGAGATCAGCGAGGCGCTCTCAGCCAAGCTGAAAGAGGCAAACGGTTCCCACCAGGTGCGGAGAGTGGGTGGGTGCTGTGTGGTGAGGTGAGGTGAGGTGAGGTGAGGTGAGGTGAGGTGATCCGAATTGTGTGGCAAGAACTGGCATCTTGGTTTGGTCGGCAGGTGCTGGTGGGCACCAAGCCATTCACAGATGCTGAACGTCAAACCTGAGAACGTGGAGAGAGAAGCGGAGATAGTGGCGCAGAGTGGGCATGTGGGGACAGCGACAATAGCAACCAGCACGGCTTTTTGTCACTCCACCACTTCTCCATTCTGCATTCCCCTCCATTCCCACAGATGCTGAATGCCAAGCCAAAGAACGTGGAAGAGGGAGGCAGAGAGAGTGGCTCAGAGTGGGCATGTGGGGGCAGCGATGATCGTAATGCCCATGGCTTTACACCTTCTCACCCCTCCGTCCTCCTCGCCCCTCTCCTCACCCCTTCTCCTCACCAGGTGCTCAATGTGAAACCTGAGAACGTGGAGAGGGAGGCGGAGATAGTGGTGCAGAGCGGACGCGTGGGGGCAGTGACCATAGCAACCAACATGGCTTCATGTCTTCTCATCGATCCTTCTCTCCTGTCCATCCTCATCTCCCCTCTCCCCTCGTCTCATCCTCTCTCCTCGACCCCTCCATTCTTACAGGTTCTCAATGCCAAACCAGAGAATGTGGAGAGAGAAGCAGAGATAGTGGCACAGAGTGGGCGAGTGGGGGCGGTGACAATAGCAACCAACATGGCTGGGCGGGGAACTGACATTCTTCTGGGCGGCAATGCAGAGTTCATGGCCCGTCTCAAGCTTAGAGAGGCTCTCATGCCCAGGTGCAGTGCGGTGCGGTGCAGTTCAGTGTGGTGAAAGGGTGATCCAACGGTGTACTGTGAAAGGTTGTGCGGTGCAATGTGGTGAAAGGTAGCAACCAACATGGCTGGGTGGGGAACGGACATCCTTTCTGGGCAGCAATGCTGAAATCCTGATCTGGCTGAAGCTAAGGGAGGTGCCCATAACCAGGTGCAGTGTGGTGCAGTGTGGTTGAAGGGTGTGTGGTGTGATGTGGTTGTAAATGTGTGGGACAGTGACAGTAGCAGTTTTAGTTAAACGCTTGTGTTTCTCTCTTCTCCTGACTCCCCCTTACCCTCTCCCTCTTACCCTCTCCCCTCCTCTTACCCTCTCCCTCTTACCCTCTCCCCTCCTCTTACACTCTCCCCTCCACTTACCCTCTCCCCTCCTCTTACCCTCTCCCCTCCTCTTACCATCTCCCCTCCTCTTACCTCTCCCCTCCTCTTACCCTCTCCCCTCCTCTTACCCTCTCCCCTCCTCTTACCATCTCCCCTCCTCTTACCTCTCCCCTCCTCTTACCCTCTCCTCTCCTCTTACCTCTCCCCTCCACTTACCCTCTCCCCTCCTCTTACCCTCTCCTCTCCTCTTACCCGCTCCCCTGCTCCTTCCCTCTCCCCTGCTCCTGCCTGCTGCTGCGCACAGAGTGGTGAAGGCAGACGACGTGGCGTTCATATTCCAAGGCAAAACGAAGATTGCTGTCAAACGAACCTGGACGGTATGTCCTGCCATGGGCAATGAACCTGGACGGTATGTCCTGCCATGGGCAATGAACCTGGACGGTATGTCCTGCCATGGGCAATGAACCTGGACGGTATGTCCTGCCATGGGCAATGAACCTGGACCGTATGTCCTGCGCATGCAGCAGCACAGGCGTGGGGAAGCAAGGGTAGCTAGTAGCATGTGAATGCAAGCAACCTTCCCATCCACCAGGTGCCGCCCAATCTCTTCCCCTCTCCATTCTCTCGCCTCACTCCACTCTCGCCTCACTCCACTCTCGCCTCACTCCACTCTCGCCTCACTCCACTCTCGCCTCACTCCACTCTCGCCTGACTTCTGTGTATCTCTCACTTCTCTCACCCACCCCTTCTCTTTTCTCCAGGTGCCGACCAGTCTCTTCCCCTGCCGTCTCTCGCCTGGCGTCACTGACGTTGGGAGCGAGGCGGTGCAAGCAGCAGTGGAGGCGTGGGGCTCTGAATCCGTGCTCTTGAGGCGCCTCAAAAGCTGAATCCGTGCTCTTGAGGCGCCTCAAAAGCTGAATCCGTGCTCTTGAGGCGCCTCAAAAGCTGAATCCGTGCTCTTGAGGCGCCTCAAAAGCTGAATCCGTGCTCTTGAGGCGCCTCAAAAGCTGAATCCGTGCTCTTGAGGCGCCTCAAAAGCTGAATCCGTGCTCTTGAGGCGCCTCAAAAGCTGAATCCGTGCTCTTGAGGCGCCTCAAAAGCTGAATCCGTGCTCTTGAGGCGCCTCAAAAGCTGAATCCGTGCTCTTGAGGCGCCTCAAAAGCTGAATCCGTGCTCTTGAGGCGCCTCAAAAGCTGAATCCGTGCTCTTGAGGCGCCTCAAAAGCTGAATCCGTGCTCTTGAGGCGCCTCAAAAGCTGAATCCGTGCTCTTGAGGCGCCTCAAAAGCTGAATCCGTGCTCTTGAGGCGCCTCAAAAGCTGAATCCGTGCTCTTGAGGCGCCTCAAAAGCTGAATCCGTGCTCTTGAGGCGCCTCAAAAGCTGAATCCGTGCTCTTGAGGCGCCTCAAAAGCTGAATCCGTGCTCTTGAGGCGCCTCAAAAGCTGAATCCGTGCTCTTGAGGCGCCTCAAAAGCTGAATCCGTGCTCTTGAGGCGCCTCAAAAGCTGAATCCGTGCTCTTGAGGCGCCTCAAAAGCTGAATCCGTGCTCTTGAGGCGCCTCAAAAGCTGAATCCGTGCTCTTGAGGCGCCTCAAAAGCTGAATCCGTGCTCTTGAGGCGCCTCAAAAGCTGAATCCGTGCTCTTGAGGCGCCTCAAAAGCTGAATCCGTGCTCTCGAGGCGCCTCAAAAGCTGAATCCGTGCTCTCGAGGCGCCTCAAAAGCTGAATCCGTGCTCTTGAGGCGCCTCAAAAGCTGAATCCGTGCTCTTCCATTCCCTGCCCTCTTATGCCCATCCACTGCCCTCCTGTCCCCATGCCCACCAGGTGCCGCCCAGTCTCTTCCCCTGCCCTCTCTCGCCTGGCCTCACTGACGTTGGGAACGAGGCGGTGCAAGCAGCAGTGGAGTTGTGAGGGAGCGCTCTCAACAGAAGCCTTCTGAATCCTCCCTCTGTGCAGAAGTCGTGTCCCTCCGCTGCCTTGGTGTCCCCATCCCCACCAGGTGCCGGCCAGTCTCTTCCCCTGTCCGCTCTTGCCTGACCTCACTGATGCCGTGAACGAGGCGGTGCAAGCAGCAGTGGAGGCGTGGGGGAGCAGTTCGCTCACAGCACTGGAGGCAGAGGACAGGCTGGCATTTGCATGTGAGAAGGTGAGAGCTGATGGTGGGGTGGTGGGTAGACGTTATGTTCACATGAGATAAGTGCATGTGAGAAGGTGAGAGCTGATGGTGGGGTGGTGGGTAGACGTTATGTTCAAATGAGATAAGTGCACGTGAGCACAGGCCATAGCAGCAGTGTCCGCGCGTGGGGCTGCATATGAAACCACATGATCATTCTTGTTTTTGAGACATGTCAAAAGTTTTGTTTTCAGACGTCTCAAACCAAATGATAATGCATATTTTTCCTCTCCCTTCTCTCTCTTCCCCCTTCTCCCCCTCTCCCCCCTCTCCCTCTCCCCTTCAGGGCCCCATGTCCGACCCGGTGGTGAAGCAGCTGAGAGCAGCCGTTGAGGCGGTGGAGGGGGAGTATCGGCGATTCACAGAGGAGGAGAAGCGGAAAGTGATTGCTGCCAGGGAGAGGAGAGCACTGCATGTGAAACCACATTATCATGCTTGTTCTTCCTCTCCCTCCTCTCCGCTCCCTACCCTTTCGTCCCCCCAGGGCCCCACAGCGGACCCTGTGGTGAAGCAATTGAGGGCAGCCTTCGAGGCAGAGGAGGGGGGGTATCGGCGATTCACAGAGGGCATGTGCAGGGGAACCTTCAAGAGACAGTGGAATATTCTTGTTTCTCCGTTCCCCCTCCAGGGCCCCACGGCTGACCCTGTGGTGAAGCAATTAAGGGCAGCCTTCGTGGCGGTGGAGGGGGAGTATCTGCGATTCACAGAGGGCATGTGTAAGGGAATTTTCAAAAGACCGTGGAGCATTCTCGTTTTTTTTCCTTCCCCTTCCAGGGCCCCACGTCCGACCCGGTGGTGAAGCAGCTGAGAGCAGCCGTTGAGGCGGTGGAGGGGGGAGTATCAACGATTTATAGAGGAGGAAAAGCAGAAAGTCATTGCTGCTGGTAGGGGGGTGCATCTAAAACCCCATGATCATGCTTGGTTCTCCTCTCCCTCCTCGTCCAGGGCCCCACGTCCGACCCGGTGGTGAAGCAGCTGAGAGCAGCCTTTGAGGCGGTGGAGGGGGAGTATCGGCGATTCACAGAGGAGGAGAAGCGGAAAGTGATTGCTGCAGGGGGGCTGCATGTTATCGGCACAGAGCGACACGAGTCGAGACGCGTGGACAACCAGGTGGGCCGTTATTGCAAACCAGGTGGGCTGGTTTCTATGAGGTCTCGGATGTGGTCGGTTGCAGCGGGCAGAATGGGGACCCAGGAAGCTCACGGTTTGGTCTCAGCCACGAGGGTACTTTGCTAAGGGTGTTTGGGGGAGAGAGGATCCACGGGCTGATGAGGGCCTTCCACGTGGAGAATCTGCCCATCAAGCCCCGCTCCCCATCTCCGTGCATCCAGCTACGTGGCCGCAGCGGGCGGCAGGGGGACCCGGGGAGCTCGCGCTTCTTCCTCAGCCTAGAAGACAATCTGCTAAGGGTGTTTGGGGGAGAGAGGATCGATGGGCTGATGAGGGCCTTCCACGTGGAGAATCTGCCGATCGAGTCGCCGTTCCTGAACCGAGCGCTGGAGGCTTGACAGTTGCTCATGAGGACCTCATGAGGACCTTCCAAATGAAGGTTTTAATTACACTCTCTTCCAACTCCCACCACCCCGAACCACACCACACTCACCAGCTGCGGGGCTGCAGTGGGAGGCAGGGAGACCTGGCCAGCTCGCGCTTTTTCCTGAGTCTAGAGGACAATCTGCTGCGGGTGTTCGGAGGAGAGCGCATGGACGGGCTGTTGAGGGCCTTCCATGTGGAGGATCTGCCCATCGAGTCGCCTTTTCCATTCCTGCTGCTGCTCTCCTCCCCCCTGTTTCCCACCTGTTCCCCCCAATCCCAACTCCCTTTTCTCCGTGCATCCAGCTACGTGGCCGCAGCGGTCGGCAGGGGGACCCAGGCAGCTCTCGCTTCTTCCTCAGTCTGGAGGACAATCTTTTAAGAGTGTTCGGGGGAGAGCGCATCGACGGGCTGATGAGGGCCTTCCACGTGGAGGATCTGCCCATCGAGTCGCCGTTTCTGAACCGAGCGCTGGAGGATGCGCAGCAGAAGGTGGAGAACTACTACTTCGACATTCGCAAGCAGCTGTTTGAGTACGACCAGGTGGGTTGAAGTTCTGTAGTGGTGTGTGGTGCGGTGCAGTTCGGTCCATAGGGTGTGTTGTCTGCGGTGGAGGATGCACAGCGGAAGGTGGAGAACTACTACTTTGACATTCGCAAGCAGGTGTTCGAATACGACCAGGTGGGATGCGGTGTGGTGCAGTGCGGTGCAGTGTGGTGTGGTACTGTGCGTGTGCACTGATAGTGGTCTAGTCTGCATTGGAGGATGCGCAGAAGAAGGTAGAGAACTACTACTTTGACATTCGCAAGCAGCTGTTTGAGTACGACCAGGTGGGGCGTGGTGTGGTGCAGGGTAGGGCGTGTGGTGCGGTGCAGTGCGGTGTGGTGTGGTGGTGTGTGTGTGGTGCGGCCCTTAGGGTGTGCACTGATACAGGTGTTTTCTTCGCTGGAAGATGCGCAGAGGAAGGTGGAGAACTTCTACTCTGATATTAGCAAGCCGCTGTTTGAATACGAGTGAGGATCTAGTGTGGTGTGGTACGGTGGTGTGCGGTGACTTGATGGCTTTGAATGCTGACACCCCGGCTTCGCTTTGTCCTCTTCCGATCCCTACTTGGTGCTGAACAGCCAGAGGGAACGGTTTTACTGGGAGAGGAGGAGAGAGCTGGGGAGACAGAGGATCTTGTGTGGTGTGGCATGGTCGTGTGCGGTTCCAAAAGCGCTATTGCAGTGTCTGGCTTACTAGTCTGTGCTCTTCCAACCCCAAATCACCAGGTGCTGAACAGCCAGCGGGAACGGTTCTACTCGGAGAGGAGGAGAGCGCTGGAGACAGAGGATCTGGAAGGGCTGATGCTGGAGTATGCACAGCTGACCATGGACGACATTGTCAATGTGAGGGGCGGTTCAGTCAGGTGCAGTGCGGTCAGATCAGGTGTGTCATTGTCACGTATGATGTGGTCACGTGCAATGCAGTCAGGTGCCATGCCATACTGTGAAGCTGTTCTTTCTGGAAACGAACCTTGTTCATGTATGCTCTGCTCTCACTCCATCCGGATTCTGCTCCACCCCTCCCTCAGGCGAACATCGACCCATCACTGTCACAGGAGGAGTGGAACTTCGAGGCTCTTACAAAGAAGGTCAAACAGTAAGTGCTGCAGTTCTTCTCATTTATGCTAATCATTTCGAATCCTCTAGTGAATTCTTCCAGAGGTGATGTTGATTTTCCTTTCTTCCTTTCTTTTTTTTTTCTTCTTCTTCTTCCCAGCACTGGTTTGTCGAAAGATGGTTGCTCTCTCCATTTCAACTCCTGAGGCGCCTCATTTGAGGCGCCTCAAAGAACGGCCGCCATCTCCATTGCACCGATTCCCCCCTCGAGTGTACCCTTCCTTTTCTCCCTCTTCATCCTTCACATACCCCGTCTTGCAGGTACTGTGCTCTGCTTACGGATTTATCAATCGATGACATTATCTATCACAGCGACACTGTAGACACCCTGAGGGATTATCTGCACCAACGCAGCAAAGACGCCTACTACACAAAGAAGGTGCGGAAAAACTTTGTCCCATTTCTCACCACTGAGAATCCCGTACGTGGTACTCCAAGCTTATCAAGATGAATCAGCTGAAAGAGCACCCACTTTCACCCCTTCCACCGCTCTTGTTTCTCCATCACCATTCTCAACCCCTTGGCACCGCGCACTTTCAAATGGCACAGCACCCGCGGGACGGCGCCACTCATCCCTCAATATCACCTCAATCCCTTTCTCGAACCTCAACTCTAACTCCCTGTGACCCTACCTCCTCACCCTTCCTACAGGCAGAGGTAGAATCGGCAGTCCCAGGGTTAATGAGGGATGCAGAGCGGTACTTTGTGCTCACTCAGATGGATCTGCTCTGGAAGGAGCATCTGCAGGCGCTCAGATTCACCCAGCAGGCCGTGGCTTTAAGGGGCTATGCTCAACGAGACCCTCTTATCGAGTACAAGCTTGAAGGGTACAACCTGTTTCTTGCAATGATGGGGCAGATCCGGCGAAATGTCATTTATTCCGTGTATCAGGTGAGAAAATGTGTACACCGGCATACATCTCTTATCGAGTCTGAGCATAAAGGGTACATTGTCATGCTACAAAATGTGAGAAAATGTGTAGGTGGTGGGAAAATGTGTACACAAAAAGCATTTTCATGCCAACAGTCGAGTCATATGCCTTCTCTGCCTCAGTTGCTCGATTCTCATCGGCATAATCTGTCCACATGCATGCTGTTCCTAGTCACCATGATTGATCTTCATTACTCTCATCTTTCTGAACACATCTGCTGTGACATTCCATGGGTAACCACCTACACTCACCATGATACCTTCGACTCCACCATCCGTGTGTGTTCTTATAACGATGTGTGACAGTTCAATCCAGTCACAGTGACTCAACCCGATGGTGGACAGCCATCAGGGAGTAGTTGAATTGAAACAAACTAATGTGACAAAATTGGCTCGGTTATGCACATAACAACAGAACAGTTTTGCAACCTGTGCTTTGTGTGTCCTCATGGTGATGTTTGACAGTTCAATCCAGTCCAGTGACTCAACCCGATGGTGGACAGCCTAATTAAGGTGAAAATATTGGCTCGATTATGTACACAATAACAAAGCAGCTTTGCAACTTGTTTATTGTGTGCTATTGTGGTGATGTGTGACAGTTCAATCCAGTCACAGTGAGTCAACCCGAAGGAGGACAACCATCAGAGACTAGTTGAAACAAACTAAGGTAACACAATCGGTACAATGATGATGAGGCAAGAAGCATCTCTCGTGTAGCGTATGAGCCCAGCTGCAGTCATCTCTTACAGAGCGAAGGCTAGGGCCTCCCGCGCTAAGATCTATTTGCCTTTTTATTGTGAAGGTTCTAGACCGAAAACCTCCTGAATAGCAGCATCGTACGGTTGTAGCACGATGTTACACGTTGACTGCAGGAGGATAGCCTCCAGGCGGCGGGTACGTTGCCCCCGCGGCGGCCGCAGGAGGGGCATTGCCGGCGTATTTCTGCTCGGCGATCTTGCGGTTTCGGCGCAGACAGCAGAAGACGATGAGGACGATCAGACCAACGACGAGAGCACTTCCGAGCCACAGCAGCACGCGAGGCCAGCAGCTGTACGAGCAGCCCCCTGTGACGGGACAGAGAGAACGCACGAACGAACGAACGAAGTGCTATTTTTTTAAATGAGAGAAGCGGAAAAACAAGGACGAGCGGAGGAGAAAGCCAACAGCTGTACGAACACCCCCCTGCTTACAATGCGTTATGCGCCTTTCATGGCCTGTTGGGGCACACGAAATTACAGTGCGTTATGCGCCGCTCACAACAGGGGCACACGGACTTACAGTGCGTGGAGCTTTTATCGCTGAAATAAGCGATGCACAGAAACGGCTTGGCTGTCGCCTCGCACGTCTGATGGGGAAGAGGAAGGAGGGAGACGCGAAGAGGGGAGGGGAAAAAATGGGAGAGAATGTAGAATTGTATTCGGAGCCGACTTATTTTGGCATGAGCTATGGACGTGTGTGAGTTATTCTAGACCGCAGCGAGTAGCTAGACTAAAATAATGCAGTTCCTTCTTTTATTGTTGTTTTTGTTTCCTGAGGTTTCGTAGATTGAACAAATCACCTGGCAATTGGAGAGACAATCCGAGCTCATGAGCCGTGTGGTGTAAGTCCCGCAGAAGGAGGAGCAATCGGTGCCATATGCGACGTCCAGCAGCAGAACCAAAAGGAAAGCCGAGAAGAAGAAACGACGAGTTGACTTTCCATCGAAAAAGGCCATCTCAAGCGGCGGGGGGACGAGGACGGGTCAAAAGCTGACACGCAAAAGCTGGAAGGAGAGAATAAGGTAAAAACGCTATTGACTATCTGAAGGCTCAATGAATGAGGAGCACATGGCCAAAGAAGCCGCTTATATGATGCTTCTCTCCAGCCTTGTGGGTTGTGGAGTCGGAGTTGGGCAAGCCGCCTGGCCTTCGTGGTGCCCTCAATAATCGTGGTTTGCTCAATCGTGAAGCAGAAAGCCTTGCATTGCAGTTCACCAGAATTTTGTTCTGTACCGTAATTATGGATGGGTGGTTCGCTGAACACAAACGTTCGTGGCAACGTTTGGCACGGCTCCAATAATTCTGGCCGCCGAGATTCACGGCAGATGCTGACTTGCGTTGACTGATCGAAAGTATATTCCTCACGAACACTCCAAAGCGCGTACATGAGTACACCTCTAACATCCAAATTGGAGGCTTTATGCGATGATTAGTTGATGGCCTGGTTCACATAGCCACCGAAAATTATTACTCACATTCATTACCACGTCCCTCGTTTCGCCAAGACCTGAACAAACCCAGCGGACAGAAATGCGTATTGCTCCTGCCGCGTCGCACCACACCTCACCTGTTGAAATGAACTGCTGCTGCTGCTCGCGTGGCACCAGGGTGGCGGGAAAAAAAAAAAAAAAAAAAAAAAAAAATTCACGTGGCGAAAATTTTCGCCACAGTTTCCCCGTCAGCCAAAATTCGAATCTGCAAAGGGCATCTACCAACATTACCCATTCGCCACTTCATCATCCTTATCTCCAGTCAGCAAGACACACTTCCATTTTCACCCAATACAAATCCTTCAATCCTCCACCTCATCTCTTCTCCAATCCTCCTCAACCTTCTCATCCCAAACTCCACCAATCAATCCAAAGATTCCCTACCAAGCCTTAAATCAAAGCCCCATTCATTCCACTCACCAAGCCTTAATTTCAAGGCCACATTCATCCCACCCACCAAGCCTTAACTTCAAGGCCACATTCACCACCCCCACCTTATCCAACTTAACCAATCACAATCATTCATCTCCTCCTCTCCTTCATCCAACCTCAAGCTCCACCAAATACAAAACAAAGGGTCCACCCCATTCTTTACTCATACTTTTCAAGCAATTTTTACCCAAGCTCTCAACAAGTTCTACTCTAAGCTCTCTCAAGGCCACTTCAAAGTCCTCCTCCTCATGCCCAACTCCTAAGGCTCCACTCATCACCTCAACCTCTCCCAACCCAAGCTCATAGCCATGTTCTCCAACTCTAGAGAAGTTTATGCTTCATAGTCTTTCTACTAGATTGTTAATCAATGGTTGCTCTTCAAGTCCATCATGTACCTCCTTTGGACTAGTGCATTTTAAGTTTTAAGGCCTCAACATCAACTTTGACTTTCTTCCAATCAAGACTCAAGTTTCACCTTCTTCACTCAACAATCATTGGAGGTTCTTCTCTACACAACAAACAAGATCTACACCTCAACACTCAAGCTTGGAAGGTGCTTCTCCACTCAACAATCAACATCTACTACTCAACAATCAAGCTTGGATCTCACTCTCTTTCCAACAATCAAGATTCACAATTCAAGCTTGGCTTCTTCAAGTTACAAAGCTCCTTCAAAATGACAAGTAAGAGTCTTTAAGGTAAGTCACCTCCTTTCACTCTTGTCAAGCTTCTCAATTCAAGCTTCCATATTTAAAGCTTCTTCATTCTTATCAAATCTCCTTTCCTATCAAATCTTAGTTGTCATTATCAAGTTTGTTTAATTTTCAAGCTCCTTTACCTTTTCATCAATCACCCATTCAATACCTTTCTTCCAATCAATTGCTCTTTCCCTTTAATGTTTTCATCATCTTTCTTTCAAGTTGTTATTTTTCTCTTTAACCTTCTTATTTAAAGTCTTCAAATTCTTACTTAATCTCTTCTCAAAGAGTTTCTTTATCTCATCAAATTTGTCCTACTTCACTTTTAACTCTTTCTTCTAGGTGTTTTTCTTTCTCTCTACTTGCTATTTACCCTTCCTAATCCTTTACCAAATTTCAAGATGGTATCAGAGCTCGAGTTCATTCCTTTTTGCTGTCTCTTCCGTGCGCATCTTGTCTAGGTTTTGTTTTAGCCCATTATTTGCCATTAGTGGCATCCTTGCACCTGGTCTTGTGCCCCCTTTGGGGTCCTCCCTTTTGTGTTTCCCCTTTCTTTGTTCTTGTGTGTGTGTGTGTGTGTGCTTGTCTATTTCCCCTTCCCCTTGTGTGAAGTTGTTTGATTTTATCAGGAGTTTTAATCTCCCAACATGGATGAAAAGGACTCAAGTGTTCCCATGGGATCAACTTCACCAGCTGTAACCACCAACTCTTCAAACGAATCAGCACCTCCTACAACCAACACATCATCTCCATCTACACCACCTACTACATCTACATTTACCTCCTCCTTAGTCCCCAAATTGGAGCTTCCACGCTTCAACGGCAAAGGTTTTTCATCATGGAGCATCCGCTTTCAACAAGCAGCCACTCTTCTTGATCTTTGGCCTATCTACATTGGCCAAAACACTCCCCCTTCAACTGCTGCACCTGATCAAGAACAGAGTAACTGGATCAAGAAAAATGCTGAAGCTTATCTCTATCTCCTCTCTTCCATTCAAGACCCCTACTCTCAACCCCTCCTCCTCGTATCAACTCAAAAAGACAGTGCCAGAGCTGCTTGGGAGCGGCTCAAACGTCTTCATCAACCTATTTCCCAAGGTTCTAAGGCAGAAGTGTGGAACAAGATTGTCTCTCTCCGCATGGGGGAGAGTGAAACCATCCCCGACTACATACAACGTGGTGAAATGGTCCTTTACGAAGCGACACTTCTCGACATTGAGGTCCCGGAATCTCTCTTCATCACCATTCTCCTAGCGGGACTTTCATCTGGATGGAGCACTATGAGAAGCACCATTCAAGCCTTTCCTGAGGAGACAAGGACCCGAGACTTCATCTTCAACACGCTCATCACCGAACATCAGACAAGAGAGCTTGCAAAGCTTCAGAGAAACCCTGGACCAGCATGGAGTGGAATGACAAGTTCCAACTATCGCCCTCAACAAGGTGTTCAACAACAGAGCAAGTTTCAGCAAGGTAAGTCCTTTCAAACCCCAACACACTCTCTTCTTGGACAACCCACACCAAGTCATGTTTCTCAGCTTGCATCATACTCTAATCATATTCCTTATAAGCCAAAGTCAAGGTATCAATTTGAGTGTCATTACTGTCATCAATGGGGACATCCTTGGTTCAAGTGCAACATACGTCCTGCAAACTGGACACCACCTTCATCTCTGATCTCTGACAAAGGAAGGGCCGCCATTGCTATTACATCCCATACCCCTCCAGAAAATCAACCAGACAATGCGCATCATGGGGCACTCTTTCAGAATGCTTCCAAAGTGTCATCTCAAAACCATGTCTCTGCTTCCTCTATGCCACAACCTCCCACACCAGAGGCGCCTCTTCAAGCCACCACAGGAGTCGTTTCACATGAGAGGGACTCTACTAAATCCAATGCACCGAGTTTCGCATTTGCATCATCCTCTTGTCTGCATGCATTGACACAGGATCCCAAGATTTGGTTTTTGGACAGTGGATGTGATCAACATATGACCCCTCATGCCTCCCTCCTTCACAGCCTCAAGCCCTCCAATGTGAAAGAAGTGGTTGTTGCCAGCAACCATTCGGTGCCAGTTCAAGCAGAGGGAACAATGACATTTCTC